TTAGAAGAATAAATTCTAATTTGTTATCACCATGAGTTGGAGTAATTTGTTCAGCATCCTACTATCTGAGGGAAAACACCAAATCGCAGGCATCAAATCCCATTTTAGCTGTCAGTGAAATGTTGAAGAATAGTAATTCTAAATTAAATCTTCCTATCCACTCTCCGGTGATTGGCCTATTCAGAGGTACTGGGCAGAGTGTACTATAAACATCGTTACTTAAGGCATTTGATAAGTACTACATTTAGGTATGGTTACGTTAGATAATTCAAACAGATTAGATGCATTCTATGATAAGAACTATACTTTGTTTAAATATAGATTCCATAGTACTTGAAGAGGAATAAAATCATTTGTAGCAATTGAAAATAGTCACTGATATGAATAATGGGAAAATGTAATCAATCGTGCTTAGGGAACAGTGTGGTGAATTCTATTATTGTACTTTTTTATTGCAAAGCCTCTTTGCATCAGATTTAGGTCGAGCGTCTATGCAAAAAACCTAGAAGCCCAGGGTTGCTATAGTGGTTTCAATTTTGGACCTGGTTGACCTGCTGTATTTAATTTAACTTTCTTACCAACAAGACACTGTTCAGCCATACAAGAAAACGGTGTCCAGAATACAACAGCAAAAAAGTTAATGGCGTACTTAGCAAGTTAATATACAGATTTAGCATAACAACTAAATATTTTATTTAGATAACATTAAATATTTTGTTATATATCAAATGTATTATAAATACATAACAAATATTAATATTTGAGGTGGTGTCTGTCTGTCTGTGCGGCTGCCACGACTAAAATACTAAACCGATACAGCCAACATTAAACACACCGATGGTCCACATATCTAGGAATGTCATAGGCCTATTCACTTCCCTGAGTTCCACTCGGGCTACGCCCCTCGGATGTCCAACGTTTTGAGGTGAGGTTTTCAAAAGTAAATATTGATTGGTCTCCATGGGAGCATTATAAAATTCACAATCTTTGTTTACCTTTGTGTTGACATTTCAATGTAAACAATCAGAACTGTTGAATGCTTATTTGACAATTTCAGACAGCTGATCCAAACAAATTAAATAAATTATTTTACACAATTATTTCTAAAACGATGTAATTGATAATGAAATTTTAAGAAAGATTCTATAACCGTAAGTTGTTATTGATATGGAGACAATTCAATGTAGGCCATACCTTTTTGTATAAATTTGGTGGATTTTAGTTTATAAATTTGAACTACTTTTGGATTAGGGGGTATAGTACATATTCCCGTTGCGAAGCACGGGTATAGAAGCTGATCTATTTATATAATATACATTCAATATTTTATATAACACATAAATTGGCTGGGTAGCTGATTGGTTATAGTACTTATAATGTAAAAGGATGCCAATCTGATTCGGGGAAAAGTATGTAGCTTTTAGATTGTTCAAACTGAACCCAGCTGTCTCTGATTGTTGGGTTTTAATGAAACTATCTTGACCAAATAAACAGCTGATTATCGTAGTCATCTTACTCCATTCTACATTTACATTGCAATATTCATCTTAAAATACGCGCATAGGTTAGTGTCGCTGTCTTAAAATTTAAATGACAATATAGCTGTGGTTCATGCTGTAGGTGCAGGCTTCAATTGGAATGACTGAGACATGAAATGAGATGGAACTTGACTATGATTGGCACAAGTACGCCTGCATCGTTATTATTATTTTATTAGAACGATCCTATACTAAATGGATAAACCATAAGCGTGATTAAACTAATTTATAAATTGTCTACTGCTGATCCATAAGGATAAACCAAAAGAATATGTTTAAGATAATTTCTTAGTTAGTGGTTTTAATAATATGTTCCTAATCCAACATAAAAAGGGAATACATTTTCCATTACAGTTATATTTTGTTTATTTAAGCTGTTGAAGTAATACAAGAGTCTAAGAAGTAAATTCAATAATATTTTTTACAACAACAGGAGACATCCAGGTGTTGTACCTGAACAGAAGATCCATATCTACCAGTTTACATCTCTGTTACATAAGACCAGATGGAGAGAAAGTCATCCATGACAGCTTCTGCGAAGTCGGTGCCAGCCAAGAACATATGAGTAATAGGACAGATTGCAACTCTTACGTTGGGTGAGGTAATAGGATCGGCTCAAGTAACAGGTTGCTCCGGAGTAACAGGTTACGCCGAAATAACAGGTTAGGTCTGCAGGTTACTCCAGGACAATACACTAAGATGTTTGATAATAGGTTCTGCTGAATTGATAGAGTATCAAAATTGGACCAGGAACTGTGATGAAACCGGATTAAACGAGTTAAGAAAATAAATGTTGGTTGATTAACAAATAGCAGTACCTATTTGTGGAAAACAATAGGATATTATTATTAAATGAAATAAATTATGTGATCTGCAGTAACAGGTATTTGTGTAATACTTGTAACAGTTTGCAGCTTTAGTAAGAGTCCAGAATCATAGAACCAAGTGTGAAGTTTTTTTTAATGGCCAGTTAACATTCCTATTTAATTGATCTAGATAGTTTTTATGAAGTAACGAGTTAGATAGATACGTAATATTGTAACCAAAAAAAATAGGGCGAAAAAGGTTTCTCTCTTAAATAAACAGAAGTAACTAATTTAACCTTATTTATAAGGTATAGAACCATATAAATATTAGAACCTTATTTATAAGAGGAATTTGAACCTTAAGCATAATCAAAAGCTAGTAAACCTATTTAAGGACCAACTACTTACTTAAAAAGTTATTTTATTAGAATTAATTAGTACTTAAAACTAATTGTTCAGGCGACTTGAAATTATTTGCTTTAAAACTGTTATGTTGTTCTGAGAATTAAATAAAGTGTTATTATGTAACAAAGAGCAGAATCTACACTTTGGACTTGTTTTAATTTCAGCTGTTGAGAAAATCATGTATAAAAAACTAAAGAATGTAAATGATGGTGTACCACATTGTAATATTTTACTATAGGGCGATGATTTAGCAGTATATTCAGTTATAAAATTGGTGTAGTTGCCAATATAATTCCCGCTTTTTTCGAATTTTGTAAAAGATAGTTTTTTCATTAGTTGGGAACCAGATACAGTACTTTATAGTCAATTAGGATTGAATGAAACAAGAGATGCAGTTTTTTTACAGTTATGTAGATGTGCACTAAACACTCAGTAATTAATTAAATACGCTTTACAGTAGTTGAATCAGAGAATCCTTACAGACCTCCTCATTTTAATTTAGTTTTTAAGGGCACATTACACAAAATGAGTATCATTAACATTTTCATTTAGCTAGGATCATAGACTAACTAGGAAAATGCTTCAATAAAATAACTTCAGAGATCAACTCCACTTTTATGCCAGATAAAATTCAGACTGGAAAAGCTAGTTACTTTAAAGAATAATAAAATAGTTTGGTATCTTAATAACTTCCACTAACACCATCGTCTGTTACCAAGCATCCAGAAGTTGCAACTCTCTGTAATGTAACCTCATTTTCATAATGGCAGAGTTTTCCAAACAATAACGATACCTAGAATCCATAACTGTTTGAGACGATCTCGTTTCGATGAAGTTCTTTTCAATTTAGAACTTGGTTTTACAACTCTTTGTGGTTTTCAATAACCGTAAAATTACAAAAATATTGTTTGAATTTTAAATTAAATTGAAAACTATATAAAATATATAGCTACAATATTGTCAAAAGCACAACAGCAAAAATAAAATGATTGATTTTGTAAATTTTTTGATGTACTGACAACCAATTAAATGCCTATAATATAATATGTAGGATATATATGTATTTACCACATCATAAAAAAATACTTTTCCTTCTATGTTAACTGGTTCATCCCATGTCATTAAACTGTTCTTTAGCATTTTCATCGGTATTTCTTGGAAAATATAAAAAAATATAATTTTAGCGAATTTCCCATATAGGGAATAAGCCTGAAGAATATTACCTGAATATTACGTCAGAATATTACCTGGACGCGGGACCGATTTGTTTACCGTTTTGAGGTCCCTAGAGGCCAAAAACACCATCCGTTCAAATTCATATATATATATCCGTTACACGATAACTATACACGATATATCCACAGCACGATAACTCGGGCATAAATGATCCGATTTTGATGAAATTTGGTACAAACGTGTAAACCTACGTTTATTCGAACGAGTTCGCGATCCAGCATGATCGAACCATGGGAACGGGGATTTACGGGGGGTTTTATGGGGTAAATATAGATTTTTCCCACTTTTGACCCAAAAAACGTAAAATTTATCAATTTCTTTCCAAACCATTTTTTAGAGCTTAAAAAACAAATAATATAGTGTATTGAAACGTTGTTATGCGCCTAATGGTTACGGAGAAAATTAAAACCTAAGTACTTGTTAAACTTATTCTATTCAAATCGGGAATAGTATTTTTAAGTAGACATTTCAGTGTAAATCCAATCAGTTAATTGGAAATTCACTTAGTCCGCAGGTTTGCTGCGGCGGGGGTATTATATTCATGTTGTCGCTTATATTTGCGCTCAATTAATTCAATTTATCTTTATTTCAAGATACTTAAATCTACAATCAATTATGTAGATCTTTGTTGAGTAATAACATTAACTATTGAATACTGAATTATTAACAAGGGTAATATACTGTATTAATGTTGTAAGATAATAGTACAAAATAATGACAATGACAAATAATAGTGATGAATAATGATTTAAGATTTAATGAATCGTAAATTTTCACGATCTTTCAGCCAGATCTGCGTTTGATTTCCTTGTGTACTTGTTAACTTTTATGTTTCTTATATTTTTTATAAACTTATTTCTGAACGCTCATTACAGACGCGGTTGATTCAATAGCAAAGAAAGCCAAACACTGTCCAACCACATGTTTACTGGCACTATTAGCCCAGCAGCGCCTGAAGGACTTTTAAGACCCTCTACCAGTTCCCGAAACTGTTTGGACGAGAAAGTACAGGATTGTTGAGACGCTGGAGACTTTCCCTGCAGCGCAGTGGCAGTCAGGACTGATAGCAGACTAGGTAGGATGGACGTGGGGGACCGTCTTCTGGTGTTGCTGCTGGTAGTCTGTAGTCTAGTAGAACTGTGCCTCACCACACAACCCAGAGTGCTCACCAGTCAACGTAAGTCAATTTAAATTATTAATTTTTTTGAGAATTTTATTCAAATGAGATTGGAAATCAAAAAATTTTTTATGATTTAAAATATTTCATGAATAAGTTATGGTTTGTGTATGCTCATACTCATTCATGTTTTCACCGTATTTCATACATTGTGTCAAAGATGTATTGTTGCGTTTTTTTATGACGGTTAACCTAGAGTTCCCGTGCCTACCACTATAACGCGAGAGCTTGCACGGGGTAAATATTTACCTCATCAAGTTTTTTGTTTGGTTAGTAAACAACATGCAATTTGTTTGGAACACACTACAAACATTAAGGAGAATTGTATTAAACGTGTATACACTTAATTATGTGAACATATCAATAGCTTAGTGTTACCCATTAAAACAGCCAATACAAGTTTTCTACTTCGCGGTCTTCCCAGATGCTTTATTGCAATTTTAGCATAACAGGATGCCTTTTTAGGTATAATTCCATTGAACAGAAATTGTAGTGGGTAGGTACGCACTAAGAAGAATGGCAGGGATGTGCAGTGAATCCACTCTTAAAATTATTTACCATTCATACATTAATTCACACATTTCATTTGGAATTTGTCTGTATGGCTCATCTAAATTAGAAAATCTAGATAAAATACTTAAAGAACAAAAGAAAGCAATTAGAATAATAAAAACCCTACATCCAGGTACATCATGCAGGGAACATTTTAAAATGCTAAACATATTAACAGTTTATGGTCAGTTTATTTTAGACACTATTATGATATTTTTAAACAATAAGAAGGATACAATTTTAGAACAAGAAATACACCATTAAAAGACGCAAAAAAAAATGAAATCATACCCACTCACCATAGACTTGAATTTTACACAAAGAAGCCGTCTTACAAAGGAGCAAGTTATTTTAGAAAATTGCCAAAAAAATTAAAGTGTCAAATAAATAGTTCCAAATGTAAACTAAAACTAAAAACTTACTTGGTTTGCAAAGTATTATATTTCATAGAAGAGTATATGAATAATTAAGCAAATGTTAATTTAAATAGCTAAGTTGACGCTATTCAGATGTACTAACATGTACTTGTCTTGTACGAATGAAGATAGTTTTATTTGATTTGATTTGTATCTGCCATTATTGCGAAATATCTTTTATCTTAGTTCTCACTGCGGTAGTTTTAACGAACAGGCTTTATCCGAGTTTGTAGGGCTAAATATAGTTTTCTGTTTTTTTTTATAATCTTTGTTGTTTTTTACCAAAGGAATATTTATTTAAAATTATTGGTACTGGATATGACAATGAACACTAACTTGCTGCCACACTGGAGTATCTACTTTATCTCAAATCAAAAACGTTTCATAGGAGATGTACTCCACGCGGGCATTCTATGATTAATCTTGCGGTTAAGTCTAATCTACTTGAAAGCATAATTGGTTGATCAAAAAGGTTACAAAAAGATTGGAAGGATTAAAGTCTGAAAGAATTAAAGAATTCATTACAGTAATGTAGCACGTAATGAAACCCCATTTGACTAAGCAGGTGGCAAAAGGCTGTTTTCTGGACTAATTTCATGAGTATAAAGTCTATTAAAACAGTGTAGGCCTAGTATGACCAAAATATATCCAATTAACTTAAAGGGATACTCGATTAGATTGTTTAAATATCTGGCAAAGGCTAGGATACGCCCCCTCCCACTAATTAAATCATAATATCATAAACAACAGGATTTGACATTCGTATACATTCTTTAATGTTTTACATGGATAATTCAACATTAAATATTTTAGCATGTTACAAAGCTTATTTGCCATTATGCAATGAATTTGGTTGATCCAAAATAGGACAAAAAATACAAGAGATGAAGAAAGTATGAAACTTTTATAGATTATTTAGAGAAACAGGTGAAAGTGATATGTGTCTTAAGTTTGATTGAGAATTACCTAAACCTCTCTGTTGTTTGGGGCATTCCAAATTCTCCAACCCCTAAACTGTAAAGCCCCCCCCCAGCATTTTCGGATCCACCCCTGGTCAAATCTAAAGTAGTAATTTCACACTATTTGGGCAACTTAAATAGCCAGAGACTAAACTTCATATTGTTTGATTGTAAAACTGTGTAAACCCTGGTCAACTGGTCAATGTCGACCCGTCCATCAATAACATAATTACCCAATAGCTAAAGGGAAAATTTACATCTGAACCCATTATCAATTCATCTTAATTCCAAAATGTTTGTTAAAGCCTGGTAATCTTTTGTAACTTCAATAATGAGAAAGAACTTTGATTACATGTGAATTAAACAGTCAGTATGGATTAGTATGGAACATATAAACCAATATAAAAATATCGGTTTATTCTTAGTATACCTCAAAGAAGAAATATTACATCCTTAGTAATTAAAACACATTATGTAATTCAGTAATAAAGAGCCTAAAGAGTATAATCTATCATTTTTTCCACACATCAAATCAATATATATTTTGTAATGCCACCAAACTTTAAGATATCACATGTTAAGATGTACAGTAAAATAATTACCTATCAAAATATTTAATTAGAATCTTTATCAATGAACCTCCTTTGTTTATTCTGTATTTATCAATGCTTCGGTGAAAAAAATCACTAACAACGCAATATTTTGTTGAGTATTTTCAATTAGAGTTTATTGTAACAACGAATAAAAAAGTTAACGATATTGTTATTGCGTTTGTCTTGTATTTTTATAAGATTGCAATCCTCTTGACAACGTAATCTTACCAAGTGCTTGGTTGGTTATTGCTTTTGTTTCATTATTTGTGGTTAATAGACAGAAACCTCTGTTCCACCTGCAAACGACGATAAAATAAAGCTAATTATTCTATTTGTGTGTAATCAGTAAAGTGATGCAACATTATGTGAGTGAGGGATTTTTTCATCAAATAAGCGCTACATTCAAGGAACGTAGCAAACAATTTCATTGTTTATGATTGATAGTGAATGTAATCCTATTTAGGTGATGTGTGGTTAGCGCAGAACGTATAAACAATCTCCGACCAAAATAGATTCGTAACTCTATTCTGAACAAAATAAATATCTCTTGTATTTTTAAGGTCCATATTTTATAAGAAGCTTCGTCAGTACTTTGATTAAAGATAGAATCCTTAAAATATAGAATTCTCCCCTTAAAGACGTGTTATATACCAAACCTCATTATTGTGTGTATAGGTCCCAATGTTTGTGGGAATGACATTTATTACAATAACAATTCCATTTCAACATTCACTTACTTATTGGTGATTGCAAGTTTTAGTTTTAGCTCAAGCATAACCGATGGATGTTTATTTTAAAATAATAACACGGTTTTTTTTAAAGGGTCAGCATTTCTAGAGCATTTTTTTTGTATATTTTAAACTGAAGACTAAAACTCAAAATACAGTTGATAAGTTTGATCCATAGTATGTTTTTAATCCATATGACGTCGAAAGTTTTACATTATCTAGGAAATCTGGGGTCATAGTATATCAGGTTTGCTATTAAGCACTGCAGTACAAAATTATAACCGTCGAATGACAGTTTCATTACAAAGTATTTTAATTATTACATCGTAATGTAAAAACAAACAAAAAATGTCTACAGTGTATTTTGACAAACCTAATATACAATAACACAAATTCACATAGATAACTTAAAATCTAACTGCTCCATATTGTTTGAAAACATATTATCGTTCTACAGTAACTAGGAAAATACCTGATTTTAAACAACCCACGCAAAGGTAAAGCATAGCTTAGGGTTAGTTTATCCTGATACTCTATAATATTATCGCGAAGTAATTCACCGTGCTTATGTAGGTGGAAAAGCTGATAAAGCCTTACCTTGTTAAGGGTTGGTAAATATAAATCTTCGTTTATACTGTTAGGGAAGAAATATCGCTTACACAAAATATTGTGGTTGGTAAATTGCTCTCGCTGTTTAACAAGAATAACACCATGCGTCTACCTACGGCTTTTCATCTCCAGTCTTCCTACGTTGGTGAATAATGAATAGGGCAATTTGAATATCCAACTAGATTTAAGTCCTTTTCAAACATTTTAGCATTAATGTATCTAAATTATATATGTTAGGTGAATGAGTGCTATTTTGGTAAATTGTTTTATAAAACTAACATTTCCAACGCATTTTTTAATTATTTATATCAGCAAGTACATACTGTAGGGAGTTGATACTGTTTAGGTAAATTGCAGATTAAATTATGTTCCATTTTATTTTATTATGCAATTAAATGTTAATCTAGTAATATTTCTATCAATTAATTGTAAAGAATAAAGTGATTTTTGTACTGGGTATAAAAAGATTGATTTTGGACAACTAGTCGCTAATCTTATATACTAAAAAAACTTTTGCAAAACTGACAGCTAGGCTGACCATACTACTGGAACGAATTAAACGCGGTTGGTACCAAATGAAAAATATTTTCCTGTAGATGTGCAGAATCCCTTATTAAATAAAAATAGGCTAAAAATGTACAAACAATAATTTAAAATTATAAAAAAATAATGGGCCTAATGGGTTGCCATGTTGGGGACAAAATAACAACAAAATATAAACATAAAATCAAAACGGATTTAAATAAGTCCTATCAAATGTTTTATTTACAGTGTGGGTTGAAAATAGAGTAATTGTTGTTGAGCAGTTGTTAGTAAGTGATTCGATAATTACGATTCTGTTACTAAAACCAACAGCGCATGACCAAAAATAGTAGTTTACGCAACGATCACGTAAAGATAGTGTTAACGACACGAGTAGAAAATTTACGAGTGTCGTTAACACTATTTACGCTAGTTGCGTACGCTACTTTACCTACGAGCGGTTTTAATTACTAATAATCACAAACAATCACTAATTGCACCAATCGTTAACAATTAAATTGTTAAATGGCTGATTAGTTCAAGTTCGAAGCATCACAATTTTACTTCTTTTCTCTCAATCCTCGAACCTCATTGGTCAGTTACCCGTATTGATAAGTAAAA